CGTAAATTTTTTACAATCAAAACAAGAACACTTGACAAGTCTATATAGGAATGGAAGCGCTTGCTTGCCAGTATTTCGAACATAAAGAAAGAGGGCTCTGGTTTTTCTACAAGCTCAAGAAGCAGTTAAAATTTAATGTTCATTTATATAAGGAATCTTTGCTAAAATTTTTTGTAAATGTTGATATTTCTTGCATTTTTCTTGATCATACGTGACTGTGTTTAACAATTTCTGGTGGAAACTTTTATTTATTTATTTTTTTTTTTAAGTAAAACTAGATATGCAATCTTAACTTATATTTGTCCAAATAAATATAAAGCATTCAAAATTTTTATCCGATTCTTGTGTTGAATATATGTTTGAAACAATGATCCCTTTTAAACAAGTTTTTGCAACAAAACAATCATAGCTTTGACGCTGATACTGGAAATAAAAAAAAAAATAGATCGTACTCACTTTGTTCAGGTCCGATTTGTTTTTTCTATAAATGATAAAGAATAAGTATCATAAAATAACATCGAATCTCCAAACATTATTCGTTCAATTCCATCTTAAGCTATCAAACATAAGAAACTAAACAAATCATATCTTAGTGTTTTATATTATTGATATGGATTTCACCATTAGCAAGATTGAACGCATACATATATTTCTTTTATAAATGTATAAGTCTTTAAGATTTTATTTTTCAGACATAACAGATGTTATCAGATGTAAATCATCATACATGCGCTGTCAATACAGTTGTATTTTCCTTCAATTCACTTAATTGCCTACTAATATTTACTGTTCAAAAACAAAAACATCAGTATATTCTTTTAACTATATAGAACCACACAATTTATGTCTTATTCTTTTTGGATATAGAATTTGATTTTACCATTTGCCAGACTGAACATGTATTTCTCCTATACATTTATGAGTCTTTAATTATAAACGACATCTTTACATTCTAAACAAAACAAATGACGATTGACTATCTTAAGTAATCATCATAATTTTCGCCGTGAAGCATTTTCCTTCAATTTGCTTGCCGAAAATAAATAAGTTCTGAAAGCGATTAAAAATTTGCAACAAGCATTTTAGAATAAATACTTGTATAAGTATATCAATTTTTGTATAGCATACACATCGCTGTAAATTATTTGCTGGCTACATCATTCTGTGCACCAGAAATCATCTTGGTAAGCCACTGACAACATACTATTCGACCAGACTTGAACAGGCTGCGACGTGCTACACACCATGCAGGAAAATGTTTAGAACCTCCACTGGCTGCGTCAGTACGCACCAGGGACTTCCACTGGCTACAACATGCTATGCACCAGGACTTCCACTGGCTACAACATGCTATGCACCAGGACTTCCACTGGCTACAACATGCTATGCACCAGGACTTCCACTGGCTGCAACGTGCTATGCACCAGGACTTCCACTGGCTGCAACGTGCTATGCACCAGGACTTCCACTGGCTGCAACGTGCTATGCACCAGGACTTCCACTGGCTGCAACATGCTATGCACCAGGACTTCCACTGGCTGCAACATGCTATGCACCAGGACTTCCACTGGCTACAACATGCTATGCACCAGGACTTCCACTGGCTGCAACGTGCTATGCACCAGGACTTCCACTGGCTGCAACGTGCTATGCACCAGGACTTCCACTGGCTGCAACATGCTATGCACCAGGACTTCCACTGACTGCAACATGCTATGCACCAGGACTTCCACTGGCTGCAACGTGCTATGCACCAGGACTTCCACTGGCTGCAACGTGCTATGCACCAGGACTTCCACTGGCTGCAACATGCTATGCACCAGGACTTCCACTGGCTGCAACATGCTATGCACCAGGACTTCCACTGGATGCAACGTGCTGTGCACCAGAAACACCCTGAAAACTCTACTTGCGTCACATACACACCAACATCAACTTACTTCTCTGGCTGCAACGTGCTATGCACCAAGAACTTATAATATGTTAAATCTACTAAATGAGGCATTCTAAGCGCCAGGATTACTATAAAGATTACTGAGCATTAAATGTTTCTTATATAATGAATAAAACCAACACTTCATAACTGTGCAAAAATATAAAATGAATATTTTATAAACTTCTATTGCAAAATACAATTTAGATCTGTTTTTTACATTATACTATATAAAGAATTTTTCACGTGTAATTTGTTAACGACTTCTAGATCACTATTCATTTTATATTCTGCGACAGTGTGCATGGATATGATTATTGTAAAATTTTAAATTTCTGGAGCCTTTAGAGCGGCATTTCCATGTACATCCGATTTTCTAATTTTTAACGAAGCAGTATTATATATAACACAGATAAAGTATAATCACAACCATTTATTGTTCAATGTAGATACAAATACAGGGATATGAAAAACGTCCCTCATTCAAAATTTATAAATTATTACAATTATTTTCAAAATAAAACTTAAAATAATAATAGTTAAGATATTTCTAATTAGGACGTTCTTGTATTCCAAGAAAAAAATTATATATACAATTTTATGCTTGTATGCTCTAGAAAACTTAGACTGCTATCTATACACTGAATCGAAAAGCTCCTCGACACGCAACAACTTCAACCGACTCATTACTTGTTTTCAAATATTTCATGTCTTTTGAAACAAACTTCAAATTAAATTTTATTTGCGTCGTAGTGTTGATGAGTGAAATCTAGTTTGTTCAAGTCATGTCCAAAATAGAACCAGGATTTTTATTTATCTATTTTTCTATTTTTTATTTATTTATTTACATTCTCCATTTTAGTCTTGTAAAATCATTTTCATTGATATGGCTGATTATAAATATCAATACGTTCACAGTTCAATCTAAATTTGACCGTGAAACTTGACACACAATCAATCGTATTCCATATATTTTACTGAAGTATGTAGTATACGTGGATATTAATCATTAGACCGAAAAAGAGAGTCAACAATATACATGATATAAAATAACATTTCTTAACTGTTTGAAAACTGTTTTAAAATTTTCAATGAGATAAAATCAATCCAGAGCATTTCCCTCTCTCTCTCATTTAAAGTGGCACAGTGACGCACAAGGGGGAAAATTGACAAATGTAGAATTTTCGCATGACCTCTGTAAATTTTGTTCAAATCCTTAAAGTATTAGGTTTCAGAAAATTACAGGTTTCAGAACCTAAAAATTAAAATTTTATGGGGAAAAATAAAAGTAAAAATAATTTCTGTCTGCCCTAGAACGAAAATATTGCAAAATACCCTGGTACTTCTTCCTTCCTATCATACGCGTGCGCAGAAAAGTGTTTAATAAGTTTCCATAGTTACCATGGTCTCAGGTATCCACGAATGAATATAAGTAAACCAAAAAATTTGATGCAATCTTTTTAAAAAGTTGTTAGAACATATTTCTCACCTTTGCATGCTCCAGTTGAATTTTGTTTACAAGTTTGAGCTAAAAATAAGAGTAGCGTGACCTTGACATATACGAAACAACAAAACGGTTAATACAACCTTTGTTTTCCCGGCACTTATATTGTGCAGTCAATTCTTGCAGTTGAATTGTCATATCTTCGCTATATACTCATAATTTTCGTAAGTCTTTCTCTGTATGCCACAGAATCTTAAAATTAAGATATGATTTTGACTCACTGTGCCGCTTTAATAATCGTGTTCGTTTGTCATAACGAGAAAATGAAATAATTTCATTTACTAGCAGTAGGCTTTTGTATTTTTTTTCAGAGATTAATAGTATTTAAAATACATCTATCTTATATCTAGAGGATTTATCTAGAGTTTTTGTTGTTTTCCATGTGAAGCTGAGCAAAGAGAATCTGTAAAAATTAAGCTGAATTTTAATCTACCGACCTAATTTAACTTAGTTGTGAAATCGAATCCAAATCAGTCTTTTAGGGTTTGTTTTAAGCACATATGTATATGTACAAATGCAGTATATCGAAGCCTGCTTTAGATTCTAGCTACTCTCTCATAATCATAAGCAAAATCATTATCGAAGTGGTACATGTATTCTGTGTGTTTAAATGTATTCAAAACGTTTTCATTATTAAAAAAACTTAAGTATTATCGAAAATACTTATCTTTTACTTCAATGACCATTATGTACTCTCTGCTTATGGATGTAAAATCTGTTGAACTGTTCAGGCGATTCTGGACCTTTGTATTCCGATGAGCAGTGGAAACTTCTAAGAAGATAGAGACATAGAGACATAGGTGAAATAACTTATCGAAGAGGTATCTTGTCCGTGTTTCCTTTTATTATATACTTTTATTTTTACAATAATAAACGGTTGATAAATGACGCGTTCAAAAACTGTAACCTTAATCATCACCAAAAACTGAAACATTATTTTAAAACTTATCTTCTGCTGCAATGGCCCTTTTGTACTCTGTTTTTGACTGTGAAATCTCGTTTGACTGTTGATGTAACGAATGCTGGACTTCCCGTCTTTTATTGAGCAGTGAAAAGTCATAACTTCAGGTATACATGTACGTATCTAAGGGTTGAGGATTCTCGGTCTGCATGCGCTATTCTGGATACTTTACCACGAGAGGCATGTTTAATGAACCGTCTGTATATTTTCGATGGTAAACTGAATGTTTGAAGAGAATAACTGTCTTTGTCGAATGCAATACCATATAAACTTTGGTAGACTGGTTGTAGAATCGACTCTTTCCAAACAGGGATGGGCCTGTCTCCTTACAATTTTTGTCATTAGGAAGTATACGTCTGAATGTCGCAACGCAAAGCCTTCGAATGAGTTAAAAAGCGTGATTAAATTGAATACCTGTTCACCTGCAGGCATGTTCATGAACATATCTTAGGATTAAGACGTGTCCTAAGAACGTCTTAGGAAACGTCTTAATCCTAAGTAAGTTTCTTGAAGCTTTCCTAAATTTAGGGTCTCGCCATAAGATTGTCTTAACTTTAAGGCAGCCTAAACCATATCCTAAGACCATCCTAATTGACATAAACATGGCGGCGGCCATGATATTTTTGCACATCGCTCACAGGAATCGTGAAAGAGTATTTAGAGACATTGATAACCCTTTGGATTATTTGAACGATGATGCTATCGTTAGTAAGTACAGACTTTCACGTCCTCTGATCATCCATTTATGTAACACTTTCCATGATAGACTTCAAAGACCTACTGCAAGATCACGTGCATTGACAGTTTCTTTGCAAGTTATGATTGCCTTAAGATTTTGCAACGGGCAGTTTCCAGGCTGTGGTAGGGGATGTTCACAATATATCTAGAGCCAGTGTAAGCCGTGTCATAAGCGACATGAATGACTGCCTATTAGAGATTTCTCGAGAGAACATTGTTATGCCAGTTGACTAGCAAAGCCTACTCAAGACAATGCTTGACTTCAGTAACTTAAAGATTTCTAATTTCCCAAATACAGTAGGCGCTATTGATGGGACACATATACGTATAAAATCACCATCTGCAGATGAACATGTATATGTAAATAGAAAAGGTTATCATTCGACCAATGTCCAAGGTGTATGTGATAGTAACTTGATTTTTTTTAATGTAGTAGCCAACATGGCCAAGTGGCCAGATGGAACACATGATTCGTACATATGGAGGAACTCTTCAATACATAATCTGTTTGAAAGTGGTACAATTTCAGATGGGTGGTTACTTGGGGATAGTGGATATCCACTGCGTCCTTGGCTTCTGACCCCTGTACTTAATCCAACTACAGACGCACAAGAGAGATACAATGCAGCTCACATACGCACAAGGAATGTTATTGAACGGGCCTTTGGTGTTTTGAAATCAAGATTTCGATGCCTAGATAATAGCGCAGGAGCTCTTATATACAGTCCACAGAAGGCTTGTGATATTACAGTAGCCTGTGTAGTTCTTCACAACATGTGTATAAGACGAAGAATACCATTACCAGATGGGGTTGTTCCTTGTGACAATGGAAGAATTCGTGTGAATTACAGAGGAAGGTGTAACGACGGTACAAGAGTGCGTGATCAACTGATAGCTGGACGATTTTCGGTGTAAATACATGTGTGCATGATGTACCATTTCATTTACCATATGACTTAAAGTACATCAAATTAATAATTGACAAAAATAAATTTTTTAAAAGCACAATTTATGTCACATGACCCCAAGTATCAAGCGTTTTTTTCTAACCAAATATATTTTTTTAATTTGATAAGGATCGACCAAAGTCACTCATTTGAGTATTGTGGCCCATGGGCCTATCGTTTAAGGATAACGTAGCTCGTTATTGTTGTTTGAATTATTATACTTATTTATTTATTTAAATCATTATTATCTTGAAATGTAAATGAAACACCATGTTTTGCCAAATAAACTTGGTGGTGTTGAATCTCCATTTGGAAACGTTGCCTGTCCATGATCAGTCTTTCTTCCTCTATGGCAAGTCGTCTCCTTTTAATTTCAAGATTTTCCAAGGCAATCTCTACCTTTTTCTTTTCTGTTTGTAGAAGTTCACTCATATGTTCATGGTCCTCTGATGAGCGCGTCTTTTTCCTTTTCCCAGGGATCTTTTCCTGCGAGTGCTGGGAGTCAGAATCTTAGAAGATATAAATATATATAATATGACTAAGGATGAAAGCCCTAGATTCAAAAGTTCAAAAGTCATTGCTAAGGTTGAAGTGTGGTAATAAAATATATAATTTAATACGAATATTTTTTAAAGCTTTCTTTAAAAAAAAATAATACTTCTTACCATAACTGTGAGTAATTTGAATTTGGGCCGTATCAGTGGCCGATGATGTAGAAGCTGGGGGTTCTTCTTCTGAAAAAGAAACAATTTAGGTATATTAAAACAGTACTGTTACTTAACATTCAATTAAGGGAGTTTATACATTGCACATCAAAGAGTTCCATTTCAAACTACATAAAACTCTGTTGCAGATTTATGTAACTATGTAATGTTCTTTTCTTTTCATTCAAAAATGTACAGAAAATGTCAAAGTTTAAAATTCAATTGAAGTTTATTTTACATTGAAACAATTGAATATATTATACGCAACACACATTTAGAGTTTCCTTTACCGATTTATCATATTCAAAAGAAAAACACTGCTTTTAAGAAAAATACATACCAATACCCGAGCTCAAAATGTTTCCTTCATTGGACCTTGCAGTGTCATGGCCACCCGGTATTCCATCAATAGGCAAGTTTTCTATGATGCCGACTACTCTGTCCTGCAAGGCATCTAATTCAATGGGTGGTGGACCACCTCCTGTTTTTGCAGACTCTCTGCGTTGTTGCGATGCCTTTTTCTTCGCGTCGCTGGTGTAAGATGACCACTTTTTTCTTATCTCCTCAACAGTCCTCGTATGAGAGGAGGAATTGCAAGAATTTATCTTTTCACAGATGCTTTCCCAAGCCCTCTTCTTTGCGGCATTTGTCACAATATTTGATAACTTGCAAAAAATTACTTCTTTATTTCTTTCCACTTCGTCTAGAAGAACCTGAATTTCCGCACTAGAAAAATTTGGGTTTCTTTTCTTACTCATGGTCAATGACACAATGCGACTCGTCACAAAATTTTTTTTACTGGTTTGGATTGTGTTTGCCCAAAAGTGATTATTACTCACTTATTTATATCTGTGACCTTGACATGATTAGGTCGAGGTATACTGTAAAGTTTTTAAATCAAGGATGTATAAGAGAGAATCCGGATTGGCTCAGGGGTTTAAGCGTGGCATTTAAAAATCGATATGTAGACGATGATACCCGTATTACGAGTTCGAGCCCTACGGAATCCTTTCATTTTTCTCCATTTTATTTTTATTTTTTTGTGTGTGTATTATAAGATATAATATGTAATTCATTATTTATAAGTATTCATAAATATGGATGACTTTATTATAAATCTACATTTAAATTTACTTTTTTTAAGGTCAGGTCGTTGAAAAAATAATTTCTTAGCTGCAAATGTATAGAAAAATAGGAAGAAACTAAAAGGGTCTTTGTAGGTTAGGATATCCTAACTTAAGATGTTCCTAAGATACCGTCGAGTTACGTCTTAAGACGTGTCCTAAGTTGTTCTTAGGATCTTCCTAATTTCCTTCCTAAGTTATATCTTAAGAACAATCTTACGATATATCTTAGGAAAGTTTCATGAACATGCCTGCTGTTCTACAGGTATCGGCCTTTAAACCAATAACTACTGTCGCTTTTATTAGCACATAATAAACAAAGGCACGTGTTCCTAGTACATATGATAAATTAATTTAAAGGAATTTCATAGAAAATTCTATTTTTAGTAACCATGCCAACACCATTCATCGAAATCAAAAACCGATGCACTATTTTATGTATCTTAGTGTAGTCTACTGTGTGCCAAGTTATATTAAAATCAGATCAAAACTGTAGGAGGAGTAGCGTTTTGAAAAATTGTTTACAGACAGACGGACGGACGACGGACACCTTACTATCGCATAAGCTCTTCTGGTCTCTGACCAGTAGAGCTAAAAATGTGTTTGTGAAACACTCTGCCCCGATGGTGACTGTAATACACTAAATTTAATCCCTTTAGTTACCCCTTTTGTGTGAGTGTAAATACTGGTCTCTATCCTATGGGGAGTCACTCGATTAGCTATTTTATCTACCTGAGCTCAAAAGTACATCAACAGATCAACTATTTACGGGAATGAAAATGCAATTTGTAAAATATGTTTTTCTTGTTAGAATCTACACATTCAGTATGGTTGTTTTACTATATTTTCCCCCTAGATCCTAGTTCCTTGGTCTTTTGCCCCGCTTCTATATGACACAGGCCTTGGACAGGGTACGTAGATTCCATTGAAACAATAGCCAGTCAACATGCACTGTGTTTTCTTTAAGTTCATCGTAAGCTTATTACTTTCCTTCCATTTCATAGAATTTATAAGATCATCATGCAACTTTTCTTCAATAACATCAATAGATTTATGTGACACAAGCCTTGGGCGGGGTACGTTCAATAAGGTTTTCCCTAATTTCCGATCATGACATGGAGCACACGCCGGGCGTGACCGGTCGGCAGGGGGTGCTCACTCCTCCATGGCACCTGATTCCACACCCGAGGTTTTGGAGGTCCATGTTTTCTCTGCTCCTATTTTGTATTGTTTTTTTGACTTTTGATCTTGAATACTGTTCGTTATCTCCATATGTTTCAGTTTCACCTATTCTGTCTACTTTTGAAACAAATTGGTGAAGGCATACTTTTAAGAGAGTGAAAAAACTGGGAGAAAAGGGGTAAATATAGCAATATCCCTTTTAAAATAATTATATGCACTTTAATTTTTTTAATATTCGTCATTTCAATACATGTGTAATAACATTTACTCTATGTGTAGAACAATTTATTTCATACGTGTTGGAGATACAGCCCATTAGATAAACTTATGCTTTATCAACGGGTAGATGCTTATCAATAGCACTTCCGGTTTTGACACGATCCCTCGCTTCAAGATTTTATTTTATTGAAACTTTTATTTGTAAAAATTCTTGCCCTCATACAAAGAATGATAAAGAGCAATAATTTCTTTAAAAGCAAGAAAAAGATTCGTATAGGTCAAAGAAGTATCTTATTTTATCAAGGTTCCTGTATTGGCTACTTGAAGACGGATGTTACCCCCCCTTGAAATCGTTTTCGGAGAAAGTAAAGCCTAGTAGTTAAGTTATTGTTATAAGATTCCTTTAATATTTTCAACAATGCTTTCTTATACAACGTACTATGCCTACCTAGTAATGTAGGTTAAACTTACCATGGATCAACAATGAATCTACAAGTAGCCTAGCCTTGCCTAGCACGTTTTGTACTGCAATCGTCTACAGAGTTAATTTTCACGATCCCATGGTCCTTACAACTTTCAGTCAGAAGTTCGTTTGGTATAAAGTCCCAGCAATTGACACATAATGTTTTCAAAGACGCAGATAGCAAATATTCTAAATTTTGAACACGATCTACTTTCTTTCGAGGTATGTCAACATCAACGGTACTACGTCATCAAGTTATACGTCATCAATCTGTATTTGCAATCATTCATGTAGGGTATATTCGGGTAATTCCGGACAGCGGGTAATTCCGGACAGAAATAAAATGCCTCTGTTTTATGTTATCGTCAATGAAAATCGTCTTATTTTCTCTGAATTGTGTGTATCATTTTGGAAAATAAAACCTTTATTCTTGTTTATCATATTCATTTATAATCAAAGGGAATTCCCGATTATTTAGCATGACGTCAATAAAATGACCTTTGCACTTTCTGTTTTGTTGTTGTTGTAGATTTGCGGGAATATTCAACTTGCCTACACCAGAGACCAGAGTGAAAAAACTACGAAACAAGTAAGTATTAAATGAAAATATTTTTATAACTGTAATATTTTAGTTCTAAAGAAGTTAAACATCGAAAAAATTTATGTGATATTATATTTTTATGCCAAATTTTAACTTGAAATGAAAAAAATAAATTGTCCGGATTTACCCTACCAAAAAAATTAAGTGAGGGTAATTGCGGACATAGTTAAATTGTGTTCTTTTAGCAGTTCTACGTGATTTATTTTCATCTAGGCCTACATTAAATCTACACGATTACGAAATTCTAAACTAGGCCTATTGAATGAGTTGTTTACATAATATCATACAAAATAAATTAATTTCAATAATGTATTATGCTGCATGCTACAGAGACTCATGCAGAGTCACGCACTGGGGAAAAGGGTTGCTGCAGAACTGTAGCTCTCCGAAAAAAAAAATCGGCCTATTGACTGACCGGAGTATGTTTTTGTTTTTCGTATAGCTACAGTTCTGCAGCTAGGGAAAAGTTGTGAGGGGGCTCTCAAACTAAAATTCGCGGGCACAGATAAAGAATTTTAAAAGCTTTCATAAATCATCAACTCGTGTGTGCGCAAGGGTGGATGGGTGATGTCCGTTCCAGTTATCTACAATCTACCAAAAAAAAAAACCAGAAGTCTCTGTCGAGACTGTAGCTCGACTGGTTTTTACTTATCAAAAACCACTGCACTATTTTAAGTTTCTTTGTGTAGTCTACTTGTGTGCCAACTTATTTAATTTGAAATCAAACTAAACTGTATCAGGAGTAGCGTTTTAAAGGAATTTCACGGAAAATTCTATTTCTAGTAACCATAGGCAACACCATTCATTGAAATCAAAAACTTATGCACTGTTCTTTGTATCTTAGTGTAGTCTACTTATGTGCCAAGTTATATTGAAATCAGCTAGACCAAAACTGTAGAAGGAGTAGCATTTCAAAGGAATTTCACAGAAAATTCTATTTTTAGTAACCATGGCAACACCGTTCATCGAAATCAAAAACCGATGCACTATTCTATTTATCTTACTTTAGTCTACTTGTGTGCAAAGTTATTTTGGAATCCGATAAAAACTGTAGAAGGAGTAGCATTTCAAAGGAATTTCACAGAAAATTCTATTTTTAGTAACCATGGCAACACCGTTCATTGAAATCAAAAACCGATGCACTATTCTATTTATCTTACTTTAGTCTACTTGTGTGCCAAGTTAAATTGAAATCAGACCAAAACTGTAGAAGGAGTAGTGTTTTAAAGGAATTTCACAGAGAATTCTATTTTTAGTAACCATGGCAACACCGTTCACCAAAATCAAAACCGATGCACTATTCTATGTATCTTAGTATAGTCTACTTGTGTGCCAAGTTATATTGAAATCAGACCAAAACTGTAGAAGGAGTAGCGTTTTAAAGGAATTTCACAGAAAATTCTATTTTTAGTAACCATGGCAACACCGTTCATTGAAATAAAAAACTGATGCACTATACTATGTATCTTACTGTAGTTTACTTGTGTGCTAAGTTTAATTGAAATCAGACCAAAACTGTAGAAGGAGTAGCGTTTTAAAGGAATTTCACAGAAAATTCTATTTTTAGTAACCATGGCAACACCGTTCACCGAAATCAAAAACCGATGCACTATTCTATGTATCTTAGTGTAGTCTACTTGTGTGCCAAGTTATATTGAAATCAGACCAAAACTGTAGAAGGAGTAGCGTTTTAAAGGAATTTCACAGAAAATTCTATTTTTAGTAACCATGGCAACACCGTTCATCGAAATCAAAAACTGATGCACTATTCTATGTATCTTACTGTAGTCTACTTGTGTGCCAAGTTATATTGAAATCAGACCAAAACTGTAGAAGGAGTAGCGATTTAAAGGAATTTCACAGAATATTCTATTTTTAGTAACCATGGCAACACCATTCATCGAAATCAAAAACCGATGCACTATTCTATGTATCTTTGTGCAGTCTACTTGTGTGCCAAGTTATATTGAAATCAGACCAAAACTGTAGAAGGAGTAGCGTTTTTAAGGAATTTCACAAAAAATTCTATTTTTAGTAACCATAGCAACACCGTTCATCGAAATCAAAAATCGATGCACTATTCTATGTATCTTAATGTAGTCTACTAGTGTGCCAAGTTATATTGAAATCAGACTAAAATTGTAGGAGGAGTAGCATTTTGAAATATTG